ATGCCAACGCAGCCACTGGGCCTTCGGTGGAGCTCCCTATGGGGCCACGAAACGTGTGAGGGGTGTGCCAAATTGGGTGCGGCGCCGCCATGCCAACGCAGCCACTGGGGCCTTCGGTGGAGCTCCCTATGGGGCCACGAAACGTGTGAGGGGTGTGCCAAATTTGGGCGCGGCGCCGCCATGCCAACGCAGCCACTGGGGCCTTCGGTGGAGCTCCCTATGGGGCCAGAAACGTGTGAGGGGTGTGCCGAAATGGGCGCGGCGCCGCCATGCCAACGCAGCCACTGGGGCCTTCGGTGGAGCTCCCTATGGGGCCACGAAACGTGTGAGGGGTGTGCCGAAATGGGTGCGGCGCCGCCATGCCAACGCAGCCACTGGGGCCTTCGGTGGAGCTCCCTATGGGGCCACGAAACGTGTGAGGGGTGTGCCGTGATAGTGGGAGGAGGGAGGGGGGAGGAGGCGGGGCGCTGCCTCCTCAAAACGAGGACCCAACACCACAGGATGGTTGGGAACGAAAAACATACAAAAAACCAAAGGAAAACCCGAAAACTGCCATTTGACCGCCGCACCCGGGCCTCGCACCCCCCCTGGACCCCCCCCTTAAGGGCTTCGCCCCAACTCAACGTCATCACTCGTACCTCGCTCTTTCCGTTACCTGGGCCGGCACAGAAACAAAAAGAGCGCTTCAGAAACAGAAACCGAAATTACTCGCACCACCGTTCCTACTGGGAGCCTTTGCGTTGAGAGCTTGTTACGTCACCCCTCGCTCTTGGGAGCCTTGGTGTTCAGAGATTGGTGCGTTGCCGCCCGTTCCTGAGCCTTGGATGGGCCTTGGTGTCAGGAACTGTTTTACGTCACCGCTCTCTGCTGGGAGCCTTGGTCTTATCAGCTTGTTTACGTCACCGCTCACTCTTGGGAGCCTTGGTGTGAAGAGCTTTTTGCGTTACCGATCGCTCTTTATTTGGCGTCTCTGGGCCTTCTTGGGAGTCCTATTGGGGCCCTCCTGGAGCCCTTTAGAGGGCCTCTTGGGGGCCTCTTGGGGCTTCTTGGGGGACTCCTGGGGACTCCTGGGAGCTTCTTGGGGCGAAAGGCTAAACTTTTCGGTTCGTGGTCCCCCTCTTGGGGCCGTCTTGGGGCCCTCTTGGGCCGTCTTGGGCGCCTCTTGGGCCGTCTTGGGGCCCTGTTGGGCCGTTTGGGGGGCCTCTTGGGGGCCTCTTGGGCCGTCTTGCGGCGGCCTTGGGGGCCTCTTGGACCGTCTTCGACGCCGTGAAAACCGAAAAGCCGTGTATGCCAAAAATGTATGTTTTCCGATCGGGGATCAATGATTTAGGCCTCCTGGTGGCCTCTTGGGACGCCTCTTTGGGGCCTCCTGGGGCTTCTTAGGTCGGTTCTTGGGGCCTCCTGGGAGCTTCCTGCGGCAAAAGGCTAGACTTTTCGGTTCGTGGTCCCCCTTGGGGCCGTCTTGGGGCTCTCTTGGGCCGTCTTGGGCGCCTCTTGGGCCGTCTGGGGGCCCTCTTGGGCCGTTTCGCGGGCCTCTTGGGAGCCTCTTGGGCCGTCTTGGGGCGGTTTGGGGGGCCTCTTGGGCCGCGTCAACGCTGTGAAAGCCGAAAAGCCGTATATGCTAAAAATGTATGTGTTCCTGTTGGAAATCAATGATGCTGGCCTCCTGGGGCCTCGTGGGGTGCCTCTTGGGGACCTCTCGGGGCCTCCTGGGAGCTTCTCGGGGCGAAAGGCTAGACTTTTCGGTTCGTGGTCCCCCTCTTGGGGCCGTCTTGGGGCCCTCTTGGGCCGTCTTGGGCGCCTCTTGGGCCGTCTTGGGGCCCTCTCGGGCTGTTTTCGGGGCCTCTTGGGAGCCTCTTGGGCCGTCCTGGCGCGGTTTGGGGGGCCTCGTGGGCCGTCGTCGACGCCGTGCAAGCCGAAGAGTCGCGCATGCTCAAAATGCACGGTTTCCAAAGGAAAATCAATGATTTGGGCATCTTGGGGCCCTCTTGGGGCGCCCCTTGGGCGCCTCTTGGGGCGTCTTGGAGGCCTCTTGGGCCGTCTTGGGCGGTCTTGGGCTCTCTTGGAGCACTCTTGGGCCGTCTTGGAGGTATCTTGGGCCTTTTTGGGCGCCTCTGACTGTCCAAGAAGCGCCCAAGAGGCCTCCAAAACGCCCCGAGCAGCCATTAACACTCATCCCCCCGCCCCTCCCCCCACCCATAGACCCCTCCCTAGAGGGCGTCGCCCAAACACAACGTTATCACTCGTACCTCGCTCTTTCCGTTACCTGGGGCCGGCAAGGGAACGGAAAGAGCGCTGCAGCAGCCTGCCCGAGAGGGCTCATGGCACCCTTCACTCTTGGGAGCCTTGCCATTAAGAACTAGTTACGTCACCGCTCTCTGTTGGGAGCCCTGGTGTTCAGAGACTTTTACGTTGCCGCCCGTTCTTGGGCCTTTGTGTCAAGAGCTTGTTGCGTCACCGCTCGTTCTTGGGAGCCTAGCTGGTAAGCGCGTGGTACGTCGCCGCTCTCTGTTGGAAGCCTTGCTGGGAAGAGCTTGTTGCGGCACCGCTCTCTGTTCAGAGTCCTCGTGCCCAGGGATGCTTACGTTGCCACTCGTTCTTGAGAGCCTTGGTGGTAAGAGCTTGTTGCGTCACCACTCGCTCTTGTGAGCCTTTGCTGGTGGGCGCGTGCGACGTCACCGCTCTCAGTTGGGAGCCTTGATCCTCCTCCTCCTCCTCCTCCTCCTCCTCCTCCTCCTCCTCCTCTTCCTCCTCCTCCTCCTCCTCCTCCTCCTCCTCCTCCTCCTCCTCCTCCTCCACCTCCTCCTCCTCCTCCTCCTCCTTCCTCCTCTCCTCCTCCTCCTTTCCTCCCTCCCTCCCCCCTCCCTCCCTCCCTCCCTCCCTCCTCCCTCCCTCCTCCCTTCCTCCCTCCTCCCTCCCTCCCTCCTCCCTCCTCCCTCCTTCCCTCCTCCCTCCTCCTCCTCCTCCTCCTCCTCCCTCCTCCCTCGCCCTCGCCCTCGCCCTCGCCCTCGCCCTCGCCCTCGCCCTCGCCCTCGCCCTCGCCCTCGCCCTCGCCCTCGCCCTCCTCCTCCTCCTCCTCCTCCCTCCCTCCCTCCTCCTCCTCCTCCTCCTCCTGGGGCCCGCTTGGGAGCCTCTCGGGGCCCTCTTGGGTCTCTCTTGGGACCCCTCTTGGGCTGTCTTGGGGCTCTCTTGGGCCGCCCGGGGGCCCTCTTCGACAGTTTTCGGCCCCTTTGCGGGGCCTCGGGTGCCGCCTTGGGACGCTATTTGGGGCCTCTTGGGCCGTTGTGTGCCCGTCTGGGAGCCCTCTTAGACCGTTTTGGGGCCCTCTTGGGCCGTCTTGGGGCGCTTGGGCCGCTTCACCCAAAAAATACAAAGAAACAGGTCATGAGAGCCGCCTGGAAGCCGCTTCAATCGTAAAAATACGAGGGAACCGGGCCATTTGGGCCGCTCCACCCGAAAAAATACTAAGAAACAGGCCATGCGAGCCGCCAGGGAGCCGCTTCACTCGACAAAAAAAATAGGGAAAACGAACCATTACACCATTCTACCCGGACCTGGCCCCTCCCCTGGACCCCTCCCTAGAGGGCTTCGCCCCAACTCAACGTCATCACTCGTACATCGCTCTTTCCGTCATCCGCCGCCCCCTGTTGATTCATCACAGGGGTGCCTGGCGTGCTAGATCCTTTCGGTTTTGGTTTTGGTTCTTACTCCAAAAGAACTCCCCCTGGAACTCCTGCCCGTCCCGCCGGGGCCCCGGACGGGAGCTCAAACCCCAAGTTGTCCTCCAAGACGACTCAAGATGGCCTCCAAGATGGCCACGTTGGCCCAAAATGGCCTCCAAGATGGTCCAAGATGGCCTCCGAGTCCGCCCAAGGTGATCCAAGACGGCCTCCAAGACGGCCCGCGAGAGTCCAAGATACCTCCAAGTTCGCCCAAGAAGCCTCCAAGACAACCCAAGAGGCTTCCAAGAGGTCCTCAAGGAGGGCCCGAAGAGACCAAAATCAGTGATTGTCCTGAGGGTTTTGAAAGATTTTGACATTTGCTTCGTTTCGGCCTTCCGACGGCTCAAGACGGCCCAAAAGGCCCCCAAGATCGCCCCAAGATCGCCCACGAGGCCTCCAAGATGGCCCCATGACGGTCCAAGAGGCCCCCAAGACGGCCCCAAGAGGGCCCCAAGACGGGCCAAGAGGCCTCCAAGACGCCCAAGATGGCCTCCAAGACGGCCCCGAAGCGCCCCAAGAGGGCCCCAAGCCGGTTCAGAGAGGCCCCTCAGACGGCTCCCGACGGCGTAAGAGGTCCCCGAGAAGTCCCAAAAAGGCCCCAAGAGGCCTTCAAGAGGCTCCAAGAGAGCCCAAGATAGCACCAACATGGCCTCCAAGAGGTCCTAAGATGGCCCAATCGAGCCCAAGAGTGTCTCAAGAGGCTCCGAAGAGGCATCCTCCCCCTTCTCATTCTTCATCCTTCTCCTCCTCTTCCTCTTCCTCACCCACGTGTTCCCCGAAGGCTTTCCAAACCGACTCGGGAAACACATGGTCCGATAGCTTCGCCCCCCAAGATGCCTCCAAGACGGCCCAAGATGCCTCGGGCCTAACATGGCGCCAATGTTGCCCAAGACGGCCCAAGAGGCCCCCAAGAGGCCTCCAAGACGGCCCAAGAGGCCTCCAAGAGGTCCTCCGGGAGGGCCCGAAGAGACCAAGATCAATCATGAGTTGTCCATAAGTGTTCCAAGCATGTTGGCATTTCTTTTTTCTCGCCATTCCGACGGCTCAAGACAGCCCAAGAGGCTTCTTCATTCAGTATCCCCCACGTGTTCCCCGAAAGCTTTCCAAACCGAGTCGGGGAACACATGGTCCGATAGCTTGACAGGCCTCTGGCTACAACGTTCGGCCGCATAGGCGCTTCCGAAAGGGCAGGGGGCGGCGGTGATTCGCCGTAGGCGTGTTCGATAGTAGTTCCAGCGAGTGCGAGCGAGCATTGATAGATCGTGGACGAACGGCATCTCACTGCTCGGCATCTTCCTCTTCGTCGAACTCACCCTCCTCCTCTGCGGTGGCATCCTGGTACTGTTGGTATTCAGAGACCAGGTCGTTCATGTTGCTCTCGGCCTCGGTGAACTCCATCTCGTCCATGCCCTCGCCAGTGTACCAGTGCAGGAAGGCCTTGCGACGGAACATCGCCGTGAAGTACTCGGCCACGCGCTTGAACATCTCCTCAGTTCGGCGGAACGAAATTGAGGCACATCCCCTGGAACCAACGCGAGCACCGAACTACAGTAAACTGATAAGCACAGAAGTTCAAGCGGATAAGGAACAGGTTCAGCACCCGGGTGCATACAAAGCCCCGATTGGCACTCAGGAGCGCCTTTTTCCACTGCTCCGGCTGCCGCGCGCTGCCGCTTCCTGGGCCGCTCGCCGCGGCCACGTCCCCCACCACCTCCTGCCCTCCTCCTTACCTTGGGCACTGGCGCGCCGGGTCTTCCTGCAGGCCCTCGCCGGGCGACCTCCTCCTCCACACCCTCCCCCACAGCGGGCTGCATCTCCTCCTCCATGCTGCCTCCGCCTCCTCCTTGGCCTTCAGCCTCCTCCCTCTCTTCATGTATTGTTGTTGTTGTTGCGGACCGCTGCTGCACCTCCCGCCAGCCTCCGCCTCCTCCTCCTTGGCCTCCAGCCTCCTCCCTGTCCTCCTGCGTTGTCGTCGTTGCGGACAGGTGCTGTTCCTCCTTCCTGCCTCCGCCTCCTCCATGGCCTTTTGTCTGCCCTGGATCACCCCACCTATGGTGGATGATGCCCTGCCGGACCTGCAGGTGCCAGTCCAGCACGTTGATCGAGTAGCCTGGGTCCTCTCGGATGGGCCACCCCAGCCGCGCCTGCATCGGGTCAGCTGGCCGTGGCGGCCGTCTGCGTTGGGAGGCCCCGGAGGCCCCCGGGCAGTCCCACACGAGGTGGATGAGATGTCCGCCGCTTTTCAGGCCACAGGCCGGACACGCGATCTCCTCCCTGCGGGCCGACTGCCACGCCGCACAGCTCATCGTGGCGCCCGCGAGCACGGGCAAGATGGCAGGCTGCCTTTGCAGGTGCTTCTGCGCTTCTTTCAGTCGTAGACTGTCGTACTGGACTGCGCCACGGCAGAACTCGGCATCGTTGCGCGTCGAGCGCCGCCACTGCGCGAACTGGTGCGCGCGCCACCCCTCGCGGAGGTCATGCTTCAGCTTGCTCACCGACACGGCATCTTCTGGTCGCAGGCTGACCGCCCCGCCGGTACCTGGGCGGGTCCACGTCCATCCTTTCTCCGGCGGAACCTCGGGGCTACCTGCCTCTTCCTCCTCGCCCTCCTCCTCCTCAGACGGCGGCGCCTCCTCCAGCTCCTGCCAGCCTTCCCTCCGGAGGAGCGTCCGGATCGTTTTGGGCCAGCCTGGGGAGTCCCAGCGCCCCACGACAGCTCCGGTCTTCAGCACCCTCCGGGCCGCTGCCGCGACTGGCGCCTCCATCATCCGATACGACGCCGACGCCGAGTGGCCGACGAGCATCTCGAAGAGGTGCGGGGAGCCTCACCGCCGCCAACAGGCCGCCACCTGGGCCAACTCCTCCGCCTTGGCGCTCTTCCAGGAGCAGTCGCTCATGTAAACCGCCTGCTGCGTGCGCGGGAAGTCATCCTGCAGCTTCGTTATCGGCGCCACGAGGAGCGCCGTCATGCCCACCACCGACCAGCCGTCGCCCCGCGGCACGCTGGCGTCGACCGCACACGGGTCCGCGAGGACGCGGCCCTGGAGCTCCAGCCACCGCTGCTGCTGCCCCCACACTCTTCCGACCAGGTCGGCCGTGCGCCGCGGCAGCCCCACCTGCCTGAAGATGCCGACCACCGCCGCGGGGTCCGCCATGTCGAAGGCGAGGGAGTAGTCGAAGGTCGCCATAAATTCCCCTTCCGCGCACGCTTCCTCCAAGGGGGCCAACGGCGTCGATGACCTCCCTGCCGGCGCGGCCGCCCACGGCCTCCTCTGGCCACCAAGAATCAAGACAGGCCTGCGCACTGCGCTCCCGCAGCCGGGCGCTGCCCCAGAGGCGCCACCACACCGAGAGAATGGTGATTGGCCGCAGCGCCGCGCAGTCGACTGCGCCATCTTCGGCCCTGGCCCCCTGGCCCTTGGGCAGTCAGTTCGGCGCGTAACGAAATTGAGGCACATCCCCTGGAACCATCGCGAGCACCGAACTCCAGTAAACTAATAAGCACAGAAGCTCAAACGGATAAGGAACAGATTCAGCACCCGGGTGCATACAAAGCCCCGATTGGCACTCAGGAAGGCCCTTCCACTGCTCCGGCCGCCGTGCGCTGCCGCTTCCTGGGCCGCTCACCGCGGCCACATCCTCCACCATTTCCCGCCCTCCTCCTTACCTTGGGCACTGGCGCGCCGGGTCTTCCTTCAGGCCCTCGCCGGGCGACTTCCTCCTCCTCACCCTCCTCCGCTGCGGGCTGCATCTCCTCCTCCATGCTGCCTCCGCCTCCTCCTTGGCCTTCTGCCTCCCCCCTTCCTGTATTGTTGTTGTTGCGGACCGCTGCTGCACCTCCCGCCAGCTACCGCCTCCTCCTCCCTGGCCTCCTGCCTCCTCCCTGTCCTCCTGTGTCGTTGTCGTTGCGGACAGGTGCTGCTCCTCCTTCCTGCCTCCGCCTCCCCCTTGGCCTTTCGCCTGCTCTGGATCACCCCACCTATGGTGGATGATGCCCTGCCGGACCTGCAGGTGCCAGTCCAGCACGTTGATCGAGTAGCCTGGGTCCTCTCGGATGGGCCACCCCAGCCGCGCCTGCATCGGGTCTGCTGGCCGCGGCGGCCGTCTGCGGCGGGCGGCCCCGGAGGCCCCCGGGCAATCCCACACGAGGTGGATGATATGTCCGCCGCCTGTCAGGCCACAGGCCGGACACACAATCTCCTCCCTGCGGGCCGACCGCCACGCCGCACAGCTCATCGTGGCGCCCGCGAGCACGGGCAAGATGGCAGGCTGCCTTTGCAATCTGCGCTTCTTTCAGTCGTAGACTGTCGTACTGGACTGCGCCACGGCAGAATGCGGCATCATTGCGCGTGGAGCACCGCCACTGTGCGAACCGGTGCGCGCACCACCCCTCGCGGAAGTCATGCTTCAGCTTGCTCACCGACACGGCATCTTCTGGCCGCAGGCTGACCACACCGCCGGTACCTGGGCGGGTCCACCTCCATCCTTTCTCCGGCGGTACCTCGGGGCTACCTGCCTCTTCCTCCTCGTCCTCCTCCCAGACGGTGACGCGTCCTCCAGCTCCTGCCAGCCTTCCCTCCGGAGGAGCGTTCGGATCGTTTTGGGCCAGCCTGGGGAGTCCCAGCGCCCCACGACAGCCCCGGTCTTCAGCGCCCTCCGGGCCGCTGCCGCGACTGGCGCCTCCATCATCCGGTACGACGCCGACGCCGAGTGGCCGACGAGCATCTCGAAGAGGTGCGGGGAGCCTTTCCCGGCCGCCCTCAGAGCTCGTCGCGCGGCGGCGCCGAGCCTGTCCACGTCTGCCTGGTTGGGCGGCCGGGCCACCCAGCCCCACATGGCGACGGCCATAGTGCCCGCTGCAAAGCGTCGCTTGGCCAGCCCCGACCGCGGGACGAGCGCCAGCCTCCGCATCCTCGCCTGCGCCACGGCCAGCCGCGCCTCCTCCTTGGGGGCCTTGCGGCGCCGCTGGGAGGGCTGGAAGTGGCACCCCAACAGCAGTGGCTGCGCCAGCACCGTGGCTTCTGCGACCCCTGCCTGGGCCCTCAGCTGCCGTCGCCCCGCCATCGCGCGGTGGCAAAACTGCCCCTTGCTCCTGTCCCCCTAAAGGCCCAGCGCTGCTGACCACCGCCGCCAGGAGGCCGCCACCTGGGCCACCTCCTCCGCCTTGGCGCTCTTCCAGGAGCGGTCGCCCATGTACACCGCCTGCTGCGCGCGCGGGAAATCCTCCTGCAGCTTCGTTATCGGCGCCACGAAGAGCGCCGTCATGCCCACCACCGACCAGCCGTCGCCCTGCGGCACGCTGGCGCCGACCGCGCACGGGTCCGCGAGGACGCGGCCCTGGAGCTCCAGCCACCGCTGCTGCTGCCCCCACACTCTTCCGACCAGGTCGGCCGTGCGCCGCGGCAGCCCCACCTGCCTGAAGATGCCGACCGCCGCCGCGGGGTCCGCCATGTCGAAGGCGAGGGAGTAATCGAAGGTCGCCATACATTCCCCTTCCGCGCACGCTTCCTCCAAGGGGGCCAACGGCGTCGATGACCTCCCTGCCGGCGCGGCCGCCCACGGCCTCCTCTGGCCACCAGGAGTCAAGCCAGGCCAGCGCACTGCGTTCCCGCAGCCGGGCGCTGCCCCAGAGGCGCCACCACACCGAGAGAATGGTGATTGGCCGCAGCGCCGCACAGTCGACTGCGCCATCTTCGGCCCTGGCCCCCTTGCCCTTGGGCAGCAGGACCATGCGAGCGCGGGTCCACGCTTGGGGCGGCACGCCCCCCGCCTCGATGGCCGCGTAGACCTCGGCCAGGTGCTGCCACACCGTGTCCGGCAGATCCTGCAGCTCGTCGCCGCGCCATCCGTCTGGGCCTGCCGCACTGCCCTTCTGCCTCCGCGCCGCCTCGGAGAAGTCCCCCCCCACAAGGGCGTTGAGGTCCACTTGGTCCCTCGCGGGGATGACGCCGGCCACCTCCCGCAGCACGGCCTCCGTCGACGGCCGCTGCCGGTCCCACGCGGTGCGCCAGTGGGCCGCTAGCCTGGCCAGGCTCTCTTGGGGTGGACCTCGTCGCCGCCTTCCCGCCGGGGGCCCTGTCCGAAAAGACGCTGGTGGTGGGGCGGGGCCAAGCCCCCTGGATCCACTTCCAGACCGCCCGGTCGTCTTCCTTCATCTTGCGCTTCCAGTCCGCGAGCCGGGCCTGGAAATCCGCCTTCCTCTGCGCCTCCAAGATTCGACGAGCTTCCGCCTCGGCGCCGCCTCGCGGTCCGTCCTCCTCCTGAAGTTCCTCCTCCAGGATTCCCCTCAGCTCCTC